AATCACAACTAATTGACGATACTTTTCTTCTTGTGCAAATTACCACTTATAACAAGTGAGATTTGCTGCTAAAACGATTGAAGAGTAAATTGTAGTTTTACGTAAAAGACACTCGCGTATCCAACTATTTTATCATGTCTTATCTATAAGCAGTTCTAATATCAAAAGCATACAATATCGTGTGTATGCTTTTATAATAATTCAGGGCTCTTTTTATTTCGTTTACCTCTTTCCTGTTTTTTGTTGTTCAAAATGCAACTAGGACTATATTATTGACAATAATTATCAATATAATAAATGAGAGATAATGAATAATCAAATTAGCCAAAAGTTCGTGCTAACATAAAAGCATTTTTTCCGATATGAAGGAAAGAAATTATCCCTATGCATAAAAACATCACGTATAACCTACAAAAAAGCCATTCATGCGATATATATATATATATATGGTTCATAAATTGGTAATCAAATAAGTGTTATTGTATGGACCTCCAAACGTGTCTCATCAGTGAAATGGACTCTAATACTGCTTGATCTGTAATATCTATTCTCAAACATGACTTTCTTCTCAGAGGCGTGACCTAGATGTTGAAGAAGTATCTGACCGTTGTCGAAACACCAAACAAGCTAAGTATAATTTCAAGTTTAGATGACAATTAAGCATTTATATAGGTCTCACAATTACAATTAGTGGCTCAGTGCATGTGAAATGAAGGATTCAACTTTCTCTAATTTCTAAAATCATACTGATTACTGAACTCTAAATTGTCCACTTTTGATAAAAACAGTAGTGATAACAATTTGTCTAGAGTAACTTCATCAATATTATGATTAAAGGTCTTGACATATTATGTTATTGCTTTAATGTCAAAATGATGTTTTAAATTTATATTACAAAATTATGTCCTGAAATATGATAAACTAATGTGTACTTTGCTTTCTTTCTTGAATAACGTCTTGATAGACCTATACCCACAATTATTATACAATTTTCTCACGACTGCGACAGGAGTGTCAATTTTGACAGACATGGCGCATTATATGTTCACTATTATTATTTTTATATACTTTGGTGTTGTGGGCATCTGTCTGTCTCAAGAGCAATATGAATTTGAGATAGTAAATGTAAATTCGTTTCTTAAGAAGTTAGGGCGGCGCCTCCTGTGACATAATTATGCATACTGTATGTCAGTTAATTTCTCGATAGGATTTCATTAACCAGTAAATGCAACCACTGGTATACGGTAGGTCTCCCTAATGGTCGATACTAAAGGTGCATTTCGAATGATTCGTTTTATTTCTCCTATCCTACATTTCCCGGTGATGACTGTAAATTATGGCCACTTTTCATCAATGAGCGATTAGACCTATTCTGATCACATTATAAAATGCTAATCATTTTGTTTAGGTATGGACTATCAATAATCAACGTTTTAAATCATCCCATCACTTGGCATTCATAATGTAAAGCTGTAAAGCGTTTTTATATTTAAATATTTATAATGAATATATCAATGACATTGCGGTTTTTGCTCTGGAATTCATTGTTTTATTTTGAAGTCGGTTGTAGTTGGTCTCAAAAATTATGCTGCATTTACGGTATTATATTTGTATTTTTTTTTATTGTCTTACCAGTCCCTCTAATCTTCTATTACATTTGTCTTATTGCCTTCTGTTACGCGATCGTTCTCCTTCAATTATCCTCTAGTCATCCGTTTCAATACCTTCTCTTGTTTCTCTTTCTTTTCTTTGATCATAATACCTTGATTATTTATTTTGAATTACCATTTTTATTTCAAATCCTTGATTATTTATTGTGAATATCATTTATATTTCATACCCTTGATTATTTATTGTGAATTACCATTTATATGTATATTTTATGCTTTTGTATGTATCTTTTGTAAATTCAATTTGTTTCAGCCTCTAGCTGCTATTTGAATGTTTTTTAATCAATAAACCATATCAAATCAAATTAAAAAAAAAAATGAAGCACCTGACCTTCATAACAAAATAACGCGTGTGAACTGTTTGATGGATACATCTTTTTAAAAAGGTGCAAGAAAGCGATTAAGTGATCACTCAACGCTGCAACCACAGTATTTTACGTGCATTTCACAAGACTGACCAGAGTGTTCAATATAACCTTTCTTCTTCTCCGTCATTATAGATGATGTTGATTCCCTAAAGACTTGCTGGAAGATGATTAGATGTTCCTCTAGAAGATGCTGGTCATAATTAGTACAACGTCATAATTAATTGCACTGATAAAGTCATTTTCGTTACACACCGCGATTCTTGATTTTCTTTCATATCACAGGCTTAGTTTGGTCGTGTTGCCTAGGAAACTACAGACTTGGAGCTATAATCATGAAAAATATTAATCAAGGTAACCTCTCAATAATGCATATCCCCGGGATATAATTTGTTATTTTTCAGTTTAGTTCGAAAATATCGTGTTCAGGACACACTGTTCGTTTATAGTCATAGCATATACATGTAGTATCATATTTTTCAACTCAATAAATGTATTTAAATTTGTATTTTATATTACTGTTTGTACAACAGATATTTGATAAACATGTTATTTAGTGATATACAGCACATAGTTGAGAAGTTAATATTCTGTCACTTCTTTCTGCCTCACGTACATAGGAAGAAACAGGTTAAAATGAACACTAAATATCAAAACAAAATAAAAGGCTAAACGTAGTCAGAATAAAGTAGAATACGTACCGACGCTTTCCTTTTTAACTTCTGAGTTTTCCAACATTGTAAAACTAAAATTATTGTATAATAACCAAAATAATATACCACAACAAATTGGCTTTGTAAATTTCATTTCATTCCTTCGCACCATTGAGTTACCTTTCAATCGATTTGGGGGTCAGTTATCTCATTTTAAAAAGTGGCACACGCTCGATATTACAGCATCTATTATGTAGATTGGGTATGAAGAAAAGCGTTTCATAACAGCGTTAGTATATCGTCAATAAAATATGCATAATAACATATCGATTAATCTTTAGTAGTAAGGAAAGGGGAAAATACCCACTTAACACTCGACCATGAGTTATGATATCACGATTGTAAGGGTAAAAGGTTATTGCGTAAATGAGCTGTCATTAGGAGGGCGGTTGAAGAGAATTGCCAATAATTGATGTGTTGGCGACCTATTAAGAGGCAGCATCCGAGAAACTATTATCCTAGAAATATACTTAATGGCGAATAGGTTACGTCACTCTCTAGTGTACTGTTCTTTATTTCGCCGTTTATCAAATGAGATACAATCTTCATTGTAAATATTGCAGCTTTAATAGCAAATGAGAGGAATCTGCCAAATATTAAAGATTACATTTCTATTTCTGCACAATATGACAGATAAACGCCTTTTAAAAATGTGTTAATGCATGTAAAGTGCATTAATCTATTTTTTTAATTATTCTAATTTCAAATATTTTAAAGATGAAGTTGAGTTCTGGTCATTCGATTGTTTTGTGAAAGTAACGGCGTGGAATCGACCAGAAAAGTTTGATTATCTAGCATATAAGTATTCGTGTGTATTGCAAGGTTCTGGAATCATCAAAATTATAAGATATTTGGCCAAGTCTTGGTGAAGTTATAAGCACTGTACACAGAAAGATGTATATGGGACTACACGAACAGGTGGTGTAAAAATCCGTCCTGATTTTTACGATGTTACAAGCCATATTTAGAATATGAAGGCATTTGAAGAGCTATGCTTTTCAGGTAACATGTTTCATCTTATGTTCTTCCACACTTGCATAATAACAATGATAACGCTCACAAATAATTTTTCACCGCTTCCCAGAACTCAACCTTCTCTTTAAATGTTTTATGTTCTTAATCAGGACCATGCTGTATCATGTAAAACAGCTTCGCTGGTCATGTTTCCACCCTTAATACTTTCTAATTAAAACAAAAGAGAGAAAAGAAACCGAGAGAGAAACCTAACTGCTATAAAATAATGCGACCAGCAGTATGACATATCTACCAATAAATGATTAAATACAATCCAATTACCAAGGAAGAGTTTTATATTATGCTATATGTGATCAAGTCACTTGCCATTACTCTCAAAAGATTGATATTTCTTATACTTCCATGGCTACGGATTTGATTAATGCATATAATTAAGCTGATAGATCAGTCATACCTATTTCCGAATGTAGTTAAGAGGTTACACGTTAAGGGTTAAATTTCCGTGAATTTTAATTGGATGTAGGCCTGTAATATCTCCATCCGTCAGTGTAGAAACATGCACCAGACATCTTGAGGTTAATTGGGACTACTCTCATTTAATTTCGTATATTAGGAGAGCACCTTGTCGGCTGAATACAAGAATGGCGTAAGATGTATGTGTTTTGCCAATGGCGGGAAGCCCACTCAATAAAAGAATATATATATATATAGATAGGATTATTACGTCTTTAGATTATTCATCCATTCCTTGGAGGACAAAAATAGAAAACATCTCTACTTCATCATGGTTGTGATTTGATAACCAATAGATTGAGAAACTATCGTATTCCCATTTTACCCGTGTTCTAATGTGTAGTTTAACCTGATATTTTAGTAGGCACTTCTCCGGCCTTTCTCAAGCCAAATGATTCTTTGCTGCCATGAGAAAACAGGAGCAAATTAATAAAGCGCCCATAAATGGCAATGTCCCATTTCGTTGCATAAGGGCTGTATAAATCAAACGGCAATGTTTTAAGATTGTTCTCGTTAATGAGTAATGAAATGAACGTACGCACTTTCACAATTTCGCATTTTGTATTATAATTATGCTGATGTATTCAGATTCAGATTCAGATTCAGATTCATTTATTTCTCCTCATGACAATACATAAGATGAATTATAAAAGTGAGGAAGGCAGTGGCCAAAAAGGATACAAACCTTATAAGAGGTATATGGGACTCCATTCTCCTTTAACGAGACCAATTGGACAGTAAATGAATGAAAAATATATATTTACCTGAATGTATACCAATCCTCAGACGAAGAGTAGCATCGTTCATGTGGGGTACTTTAAAGCCCATGACCAGACTGCGTAGCTCCAGAGCCATTGTGCTGATCTCCCAGGCATGTCTATCCGTTGCATCAGGTAACCCCGACACGACCATGTAAGCATCACCAATAGTCTCAACCTTATACACGTTGTACTTGTCAATGCATCCGTCAAACATGCTGTAGAGAATTTCAAGAAAAAAGCAAGAAAAAATAAAGAAAAAAAGAGGTTTATTATAAAAATTTCTATGATTATGTTCGACGCAAGTTCTAAGAGAAAACAATGGGAAGCAATATTGAAGAAAACGCAGTTGAGTGAAATCTAATTTACGGATTAAATCATTGTCGAATTTTTTTAAAGGGTTATGTAATTCACAACGAATAATTAGGTTGACGAGAAATTAATTACTGTCATGATATACTTTAGCCAGTTTGGTTAGTGCATTGCTCATATTACATCCAAAATGTGATATTTGAATCTTGATTGGATGATAAATAAAACTTGAGAAATGTCTAACACAATAGGCTATTTTCGTAATGTAACAACCTTTAAGGCATAGTCTTTGTGAAGTTCCTCAATACAAATTATTTCGTTCACCTATCAAGAATAATTGTATTTGAATAGTCAGAATGCAAACTGGATATATTATGCGTTGTTAGATAGGGCAAGTCATAATGTTTGTCCTACCTAGCAACAAATCTGTATGCAATCCGCATTCTGACTATTGAAATACAATAATTATTCGTGATAGTTAAATGAATAATTTGCATCAATACACTTCACAAAGACGTATGCATTAAATCTGGTCACATTACGAAATGGCCTATATTGTAGAAAACCCAAACCCGCAATTCCTACAAGGTTAGTATTCATCCAAGTAAGTATAAAGGTTGAGAGTGCTTGTAGTAGAAACGTGTCGTGACGTAGGAACAGCAACATTCATAAACAGTAGCGTAGCTATTGGGACATGGAGGGGAAAAGAAGAGCAGAGAGAGAGAGAGGGGGGTGTAAAAGAGAAATTGAAAGTAAGACAGGGCCCTCTCCACATTCTCCCCTAATCTATTAATAAGAACAAATTATTATTTAATTACTGCCCCCCTTAAAGGTACTATGTCCCTTTTGCAGCCAACCTCAAATTCTTTAGAACTTTGCAGGAATTATGAATATGTCATGTATGTCCTATCTGTGAAATTTAAACGTTAGCAGTGTCCTCATATTCAAATTATGCAAGGAAACCCGTTTACTTGCTATAGACTTCACTGTCAGACACTATTGAGTGACTGACTGGCTTTTTTCTTCTTTGGTAATAACATACATGAAAAGAGTTGTAAAGGGTACATGAGCATTTGTCTACATCAATAACCCACTTCTTGTGATGGCCAAGATTAAACTGATTGAATCTTTGCGCAGCATAAAACGTATGACCATTCGGTACAATTGTCTGAAAATCAAGACTATTACTTTTGGGCTCTATAGCCCTAAAGTCGATTTGACAACTAATAGTCATTATTTTCCCACTTGAAGACATTTTCAAGCCCCAACTTTTTTAGGGAAGTTCTAAATAAGTATTATCTTTCAAATGCAGTTGGAATTTAACTTTTTCATTTTTTTGGCCTGCAAATGGGACATAGTACCTGATGCCCCTCAATGTTTATATAGGCCCAAACTATATCCCCTTTCATACCATGCTGTATTTTGACGCGATGGTAGATGGAAACTGACGAGATCAAGACCGTTAAGCATGTCATAAAGAAAGTCAGCTATCCTGTACAACTTACCTATACTGTATACTCGCTGCCCAAAGTAATCATATAAATAATCGGTAACTATTACACATATCCATATTTGCCAACTGCCTATTAAAAGCGTGAGCACCATTTTTTTTGTTTGCCCTCGAAAATTTGAAAAATCGCACCCCCCCCCCTCACCCCTTTGAGCGCCAGGGGAAGCGGGCCCATCTCCAAAAAAAGGTAAATCTAACGGCCCCCCTGGATCCGCCACTGGTTCTCAAAACTCCCAATGATTTAAGTTATTTTCAGAATGACTAATCACGTAATGCTGTATGGGTAACCTAAGTCGTAGCTAACATTTATCTACAGACAGGAGAGGAGTAAGTTTATTGTTGCCTTTTATAATCGTGCTTCTCACCACCATGAATTCTGATTTTTATCATGTGTATCTCTGAAGGTTAAATAGTACCCTTGATATGATATATGTGTTGTCAATAATGCTCACATGGATTCTTCAGTTGCAACAAACAACTCTTTAACTCACATATATTTCTTTGTTATTTGTACATGCTTAAATAAAGAAGAGGTATTACTTGTCGTTAAAGGGCAACAAAGTCGGCCCTATGTTCTTTTAAACAGTAGATATACAATTATTGATTACCCACCTGCCGTATGAGAAAATACTGCAAAGCTAGGGATTTTTCCCCCTCTCTAATGTGCAGCTAAAGTGTTAAGGAGAGCACTTTACTGAAGGTCATTGGAGACTAGGAGCTTACGCTCTTAAAACATAATTACATAGTTATATTACCATGATAGTACTTCACATGTAGTTCACGTCTCATATACATTTAATCTGAGTTATCAAACCGAGGGCAAGTACGGTAGGCTATATCTTACGTGTGAGTAGGCGCTTATTAGTGCTCGTTCCCCCTCTGTAATTGAAACCAAAGACGGGTGAAGGTAGATTCACTATATAGACCTTGCTCTTGAGAAATCTACAGGTAGGTAAGTTATGCTTTGAGTTACGTAGTGTTTTCCTAGTCGAAAGGAAACAGACAAATTAATGTGTTCACCTGTCACATGGAGACGACATCCGTGTACAATGTGGCCCATAAATTTAATTGGAATTACCTTTATAGGCAACAAAAATTGTCCATAAAATTATGTTCCCAAATGATTACGAGCTATGTGTTAGGCGTTAGGATTAAGTATTGGCAATAGACACACTGGAAAGCTGCTCGAAATTGCTACTTTATTCCATCCTCCCAGTCTTCTTTCTTTTGTCCCAGTCTATCCCCTGGGAATTTGAAATTACCATAATGATTTGTGGCTATTTTTAGTTTTTATATCTTTTATATGATCATGCAGGTACCTCGCTGAGGATTACTCTCCACCAAGAGATGTTAATAGCAGATCAGTTAAGTGTTCAAAAATAATCTTAAGACGTATCTGTTTGTGTCGGCATGCATAATTTTGGTGTGTTCTATCATTTCACTCCTGTTGTGCTTTTGTTTATAATGGAGATGCTTTTATGTGATTTAATTTGTTGTATATGTGTGCCTTGAGCATTTGAATTCCGGTAGATTTGTCGACGTATCAATTTCGTACATTATTATTCATATTATCAGGCGCGTACGCAGGGGGGGGGGGGGGGGGGGTTGGGTGGGTTAACCCCCCCCCCCCTTGTGTTTTTTGGGGAAAAAATTATGCCAATGGCTGACCTAAAAAAGGTGACCTTACACCCCCCCCCCCCCTCACGGGACAAAATGTCAAATTTTCAAAATTCGAGACCAAAAAAAAAAAAGGTGTCCTCTTACCCCCCCCCCCCCCCCCCGCTTATTCAGCGGCTGGCTGAGTCGTTGCGAATTTTTTGGGACCCAAAAAAAAAGTGTACTCCAACCCCCCCCCCCCCCCCCCCCCGCTTATTCAGCGGCTGGCTGAGTCGTTGCGAAATTTTTGGCCCGATTTTAACCCCCCCCCCCCTTGAAAAAATCCTGCGTACGCCACTGCATATTATTAATTCTAATGTTATTATTATTATCATTAATATTGTTATCATTATATGTTATTATCACCATCGATACTATTATGACACTTATCATGCTTATCACGATAACAGAAAAAGAAACTCAAGCATTCAAAGGATATTCTTCCTACATGGTATCTATTTGCTCCACCTATATAGGTGGAGAGTGGAAATGTATATTTCTGTCTTGTCAAAGGACTTGAGAGCAGTGGCAGCAAGAGATTTAAACTTGTACCATGGAGTAAAAGTTTGGGGCTCACGATAAAGCAAAAATCAAATTTCTCTGTACTAAATGAGAGATTCCGCAAATAGCGAATTTAAAGGATTCTGATCTTGAAGCTTGCATCCACCATGATAGGAAATAAAGCTCACATCTCCTTTAGGAATCCGTGACGTTAACCAACAAAGCAAACTTCCTTTAGGAAAAGAAAGTGAAGCATCGTTTCGCGTCATATTATATTTGAATTATGCTTGGAATAAACTGAGCACACATCTGCGAACGAGACAATCATGTTGATTCAGAGATCTCATGTATCACGCAGACGCAACTCACCCACCTTGTATGCATGTGTAACACAACTTCTTCCCTTCTTCCCTTTTCAGGTTTATGAATCTAAACCTCCATAATGACATATTTAAAATGTCGTGACACTGTAACAATGAGGGGGTTGGAAAAGAAGAACATAAAGGGAAAGACCAATGTGGAAAAAAGGGGAATAGTAATTAAACTGACAAGGAGAACATAGTTTTTCCTGTTTTTTTCTTTATTTCTTTTAATATGCATAACTCTTTCATATTGATAATTACAATTTATATCGGGAAACTTTGAACAACATAGATTAATTTAATCACAAATATTAGATATGCTGATAACACTGTTTTATTATCTGAATCAGAGAAAGATCTCCAAAGACTCTTGGATGTAGTTGTAAAGGAAAGTGAGAGAATGGGACTAGTACTAGAGATTAACTATATAAAAAGACAAAGTGCCTGGTATAGTCTCCAAGAAGAGTAGTCCAAAATGTAACTTGAAACTGAAAGAACTGGTTATCAAACAAGTCTCCTCGGCAGCATGATCACCGAGGATGCCAGATGTGAGGCAGAGATCAAGAGAAGGATACATGTAGCTCTCGCTAAATCTGCATTTTCAAAGTAAGGACAAATTCTGACAAATCGCACAATGGGTTTGAGGACCAGGATAAGAGTATTGAATTGTTACATCTACCCAGTACTAATGTATAGTAGTGAAACATGGACTTTAGCCTCTGATACTAATTAAAAAGCGTTTGGAAAGTTGCGAAATGTGTTTTTTAAGAAGAATTATGAAAATCCCTTGGACTGACAAAGTTAGTAATGAGGAAGTTCTTAGAAGAGCTGGAGTGCAAAGGAAAATGATACGTGAGATGTTAATTAGGCAGTTGAAGTTCATGGATCACATTACACGTAAAGAAGACCTAAAGAATCTTGCTTTGACAGCGAAAATTGTGAGAAGGAGGAGTAGGGGAAGAAGGAGGATACTTTGGATGGACAGTCTGCAGAAATTGTTGGAGGAGAGAGGAGTGACGGAACTGAAGGGTGGTGCTAATAGAGAAGGCTAGGAGCCGAGGGTTGTGGGACAGCATGATCGCCAAAGTTAATCGATATGGCACTTAGAGAGAGAGAGATATATATGTTATAAGAAAACTTAATAGTATGGAAAGCATAAAGAGGAGAATGAATTATTGTATGATCGACAAGGCAAACACCAAAGAGATAAGATAGAGTGAAAAAATCTCCAGTTTTCATATAACAGTAAAGCAGAAGTGGGCTTACTTTGGTGAAAGCGGGCGGGTTGGTGGGGGTCAGTGAGTTTGTGATTTAGTCGAGGACGTTAGGTACTCTATTACGTCTTATCGATTTGTGTATCTATACTTACATTGTTTATAGATATGCCTGATTGCATTATGTCCGAAAAGCAAGGAAATTGTCACGTTCTAATTTATTTTACATTAATGGAATCCTACTCACTGCTCGACAATAGTCTAGCTAATATGGATTACTTCATTTCACTCATCCTCTTGTTTAACATCCCTTGCATGACTTGCAATTGCACTTAAGAACGAAAAATTGACACACTTTTATGACTGTTTGTAGATGCCATTTTTATATAACTTAAATAATACAATTTCAATTGTGGGTTCTTGTATAGTGCTCACGTTTAGCACATTAACCGCTCCTGAGGCTCCAGTAATACCACGGCTTTAGCCAGGCTGCCATAACAGCGCTCGAGCATTTCAATGAACTTCTTCTTGTATACCAGGTATCCATTACCCTAACCTGGGTCGAACGTGGCAAATGCAAATTAATGTCTTCCCAAAGGGCATTAATTCTCCGAGCTTATGACATTTCTACACAATAAGTGATCACATAATCCAGCTGCCTTCCACCAATTTCTTCAAAGTTCCTTTCTGGCTTTTGCTTTGTTTTGTTTTGTTTTATGAAATAACTCGTATAGTACTTTCATTGGTTGGGTCTTGTTCATACATCAGTCATGATTAACGGACACTGTTTAGACAAAAACAAAAAATGGATGAGAGAATTAATCGTAAATATCACTTTTAAAAAGTGACACGATGACTGGTAAAGGCCATATATGCAACGGTGTTACCGTATACGTTGTCTAGTCAACTAGTTTTAAAGGGATTGGGTATCTTTGTCTAAGATTCTAAACAAAATCCTGGATTTAGCTCATGCTGCAATCATAATCATAAACCTTTAGGTCAGTCAGGAATCCTATGACGTTTACAAGCCGATCGCCCGTCTGATTATCAAGATATTTATGAATGGAATTCGAAATTTCAAAAAACCGCTTTCCCAACGGTTTTTATAACACAACAGTCTATTGGGAAAAATGAGTATGGTAAAACCGGTCATTAAAAGATTTTTACTTTATTGAGGCACTTCATGATCATTTTTGAAGCGCAATTTTGTTTGGGCTTCAATATTACACCATATCACAGACGCTGATAACACGTACGTAGTGCCATGCATCTCAGATTTGGCATTGTTAAATAATGCGTTTATAAACAACCATAAACATGTCAATATTTGCTAATTCCTAATTATCATGACGGAGGTTTAAAATCTATTCTTACCTATAGAGACCATTGAGCATGTTAACCACTTGGAGTGGAGAACAAGCAGCAGCGAGGGAGGTAAATCCAACAATGTCACTGAAATATATGGTAACATGTTCGTATTGTTCTGCTGCCACTGAAAGACCCATTTTCAACTGATCTGCAACACACCTTGGTAGCATTTGATAGAGCAATCGGTCCGCACGCTTCCTCTCAGCGTCCAATTCCCTGGTCTTTTCCGAAAGTTCTTTAGCATAAGAGCCAACGACGCTCAACAGGTTATTGGTTTGGATTACGAACCAGGTACCTAGCGAAAAACAGACGATGACGATCAGGGACACAACTACTGCGAATACAATTACCGTGACAAGAGCATCATTGCGGATTCTTTCATTAGTGATTCGGATCTGATCGGTGGTGTTTTTTAGAACAACAGCCAACTGATCAATGTATATGGTGCTGTTTTCGAACCAGTAGAGTGCGTATGTAGACACATTGTCCGCTCCATATTTGGCACAAGCATCTTCATTTTCCCGAATTTCCTTTCGCAGCACATCAAGGAATGAACTGTCGGGAACTTCGATGTCCGTTTCCCCGAAGTAAGCCTTGCTATACCTGGTGAGCACTTCTGCCTGTGAATTGACTGCGCTGAACAATGCATTATCGTCATCTGAAAGCTGGCAAGCTGCATAATATGTTCCACCTAAAGCACGTTCGATACCATAGAGGTCAGTGGCGAAGAGAAGAGTGTCTTTGGCCACCAGAACTGATGACAACTCCTGCTTTGTTAACTTCACGGTACTGATGATCCCACTGAGTATAAATCCGATATTGACGTTGGTATAGTATGCTATATTGCTGGATACTTTCAGTTGATACCCAACTTCGTTAACTCTCGCTCGGTGAATCTGAAGGTTATCCAAGAAGTCTCGTTTGGACGTAAACACCGTTCCACTTACGTTAAACCCGTTGGTCGGCCAACGTTGTAGTTCATCGAGCGCATGGTCTGTTCGAATTCGGTTCTGGTCCTGAGTTCTCGAGACAAGAATACTGCTTCTGTTTCCACTGAGGAAGGTAGATGCCAAACCACGTTCTACCTGAAGTCTGATCACAATATCGCTAATCAATTTGTTATGATTTAGAGCCACGCCAGTTTGTTCAGCTGTCCGCCATCTTTTAATATTATCATCCAGACTGATACCAGACAAGACGACAAGGACAATCAAAGGCACTACCAGAACGCTGAGTAGTTTAGTCATCTCTTTGACTTTGTTCCTCGATGCGACATGACGCAGGACTTGTCTCATCTTTCGTCTTTCATTCCAAACCGATGTGGATGCCTGGGAAAGTGTCGCTTCACTCCCGTACATCCCTTTCTCTGAGTTAACATCGTGAACTCTGCTAACTGAAAGCATTGTAATAGCCCGATATTCTGTTTCTGAAAGAGAGAAAGAAAGCCATTACTCATTCGTTATACGATTCTGATTTCTCTTAATTTGTAATCGTGTTTTCCTTCTCCCGACATATTTTCTTTGTCATTGAAAATGTTGATGTTTTTAGAATAAACTTTAGATATTAGAAAAATCTGCATTAAAATTGTATAACTTAAATAATGTTTCATCAGTTTTGACCATTATTTGAATTCAATCTATTATGGGTATAAAACAGTTTTTTTTTGCCCTTTGAACACGAAACGACAGTTAGTACGCAAAATTGATATTGCATCATCGGAAATTGTAATACAATAGATAATTTGGAAATTGGTATCGATTTTAATTAACCAAGAAATTAATATTACAATCATAATCATAGTCAAGATTGTCAAGATCGATCAAATATTTTTTTTTAATGCACATAAATTATCAGGAAATTGAAAAATAATGATTGGGGAGCCTTTTTTTTTTTTTTTTTACTAAAATGAATTCTTTTTCCCCATCAGTATCTAATATACAAAATACTGTAAGCACACGTCGAAAGACAATATCCCACTGAGTTTGTAAGAGTACAGAAATATAGAAAAGTATACACTAAAAATTTAATAAAAATGAGAACAAAAAAATCCCCTGAGGGCGAAGAAATCCTCCCCCCCCCCCCCCCGAAAACTTACCATTATAAGAATTGGGCATCTTGTTCCTTAAAATAGAATTTCCTTATAAAATGTACGCAGTGGCAATTTTAACACCAAATCAATTCTAAGTCAAGAGCATGCAGGTTAAAATATGTGATTCGAAAATTTGACTGAAAATGTAAATAATAGGATGACAAGGCCATCATAGGTTTACAGTTTCAACATCTGCACAGGAAAGATCCACAATTGACTTAGTTAATACTACCAGTAAATAGTGGGCCTGCACGAAAATAATACCGGGAAAGCTGTTTTAAAAAGTATTAAAAAAAGTATTTACCTCAGCAAATGGAGTAGTAGTAGAGGCTTGTTGAACGTTACTAGCTAGCTCCACGCATCTGTAGTGACTGAAGATTTCCCAGGGAGACCTTAATCACTTGGGTTTATATCACCGCGGCAAGGAGAACGCGCACTTTTGTGAATGTACGACTGTAAATGGATAAGGTCTTCGCTTCGCATTAAGTGATATACTGAAACGGTCGTTCTAATCTTCATTATACCCATCGTCAGCAGCTCAGCAGCACTAATGCCGCCAGCTAGTAGTCAGGGCCAGGGGCGCCAACTCGTTTTATATTTTTTTTGGGGGGACACTGAAATATGAGTGTCCAGGTAGAGCATAGCAGCGAGTGTTATATACCGCGTGGGGTCCAGGCAGGTGCGGCGGAGCGTCTTTCAAATTGGGGGGGGGGGGGGAGGGCACCAACAAAAGGGCACTTTCTGGGAAAAGGGGGCGCCTACAAAGGGCAAATATCTAAGCGAAAATATAATTTTTTAAGATATAGTATATACCCCTACATTCTGATTACATTATGATTTCAATGTTTGTTTCTCTCCATACATGGTCCAAGATATTGCTTAAGCTTCATACTTATTTAAGATTTGTGAGGTCGCAGTGCGACAAATTACATGACATAAAGAGGAAAGAATAGTCCTGATGGGGTTTTTAAGCACGATATAATCATGAAAAACTGAAATTATATGAAACACTTTTGAGAATGGAAAGGGGAACTTATTACAAACTGAAGGAAAATGGGCACCTATGAGATGTACATATATAGAGGTATCTATGAGAGGTGTTGGAAGGGGCATTTGTGGGGAGGGGAAGTGGCTCTTAATACAAACGAAAAAGAGGGTGTATTATTTTCATTTGCAAAGTTTTAATGTTAATTGAATTGATGTAATGCAAATTCTCTTTTCTTTACTTTCAACTATTTTCCTTCTAAACCGCTTAGTGGCAACATGGAGTTTGGGGTATACATAGAAATATCTTATTATTATTATTTATCAGAAGGGAAAAGGGCACTTATCAGGTAAAACAAGGGAGCACGTGTAAAAATAAGAGGGGGCACTTATCAGAGGTGAGAAGTGGCACTCATCAAAGATGAAAAGGGGCACTTATCAGAAGGAGAATGAGCACTAATTACAACAAAAAAAGGAATTTGTTAAATTAAAATTGGCACCTGTCAGACTTGAATTGGGGCAATTATCATAAGTAAATGGTGAACAAAATCAACCACTGATGTTTGTGTCCCGAGAAGTGATCCAACTTTTGTTCTTCTCAGTATTGTGGTAGACAAAATATTTATAGCATTAGCAGCTAAGCGGCATCGTGCAATTACAGCATGGCAAAAGCCTAATATCAATTGCTCGTTTTTGTGTAAAAGGCCTATTGACTTTTCTTCTATTAAACTTTATACAAACTTAGGAGTGTTTTAAGAGGAATGAAAACTTATATTGATCTTGACTTTGTGATGTAATTTTGGTCTGTAATATACCGAGTGAGTCAAAAAAAAAGTTTACACCTAGAAAATTGCTAATTATTAAAAACAATAATCAATGAACAGTAGATTATTATACATCTTATGAAAGAGTGTTTTATCCCAAATCATTTGGTACCACTTTTGTGTGGTATGTGTTCACACTTGGATGAACACGAGGCATCGTTTGCGAGAGTGCAAAAATGGACTTGCGCCAAAGTGATGCGTACAGTATGTATTATGTTGGGTTTAGTGGAGTGAGAGAATGAATTAAATGTATCAAATTAAATGCATTGCATATGCTTTTTGCAAAGGGCAAACTCACACCATCCACATACACGCGCACAAATGTTCGTTAATATTTGATATTCGATATTTGATATGTGTGGTATGATTAATTTTGTTAGGGATGTTATTTGGATCTGCAAAGACCGAATTAATACCCAAATCCAAATTGTTTTATTCAAACATCACATAAGCAACTTTGGCGCAAGTCGATTTTTGCACTCTCGCAAACAATGCCTCGTGTTCATCCAAGCGTGAACACATACCACACAAAAGTGGTACCAAATGATTTGGGATAAAACACTCTTTCATAAGATGTATAATAATTTACTGTTCATAGATTATTTTTAAAATAATTAGCAATTGTCTAGGTGTAAACTTTTTTTGACTTGTAAATATAGTAGGTAATATAGTTTGAGATAATCGTTTGTAAGAAATGGGGCATATTCCATCCAAAAGGTCAATTTTTTTAGGTCAGCAATTGCCTTTTTTTCTCCTTTTTTTTAAATAAAAAAAAAAAATAAACACAAAATATACACACACAATACACACATAAAAAACTCAAAGGGGGGATTAACCCCCCCCCCCCCCCCCCCCCCCCTCTGCGTACGCGACTGGCTTTATAGAGCATCCCTTGTAAATAGTAGGTAATATAGTTTGAGATAATCGTTTGTAAGAAATGGGGCATATTCCATCCTTGCCACCGATCATGGACGGGCGACCTAAAGCTCCAGCAGGGGTTGGGGGGGGGGGGGGGGTGGACACTTGCGTGCTTAGACTTGATAGTATAACCATTGTCATGTGCATATTACGACCCAACTAAATTCCAGATTTTATAATGCTGGATTATGCCCAATCATAATGAAAGCATGAAAGTTCCTTACAAATAATACAATGATAATGTTCTGTAAGAATCTTCAAGGTTGAAGGAAGCAGACTACACCGAAGAAGAAGAACGCAAGAAGAAGAAGAAGAAGAAGAAGAAGAAGAAGAAGAAGAAGAAGAAGAAGAAGAAGAAGAAAAGAAGAAGAAGAAGAAGAAGAAGAAGAAAAGAAGAAGAAGAAGAAGAAGAAGAAGAAGAAGAAGAAGAAGAAGAAGAAGAAGAAGAAGAAGAAAAAGAAGAAGAAGAAGTTCGAATGCATATTATAAGCAATCATGTATTATACTTAAATATTACAAAGAAATTTAATATGCTACGGTGGTAGTTCCTTTTCCGAGAAAAGAGATATGCTTATATATTTGTAATAAGTTATTAATATTGGATTATCAATTATATTTAATAATAATAATAATAACCTAGACTTATATAGCGCATTTCATCTTCGAAGAAAATAGCAATGCGCTTTACAATAATTAATACAACAAAATTACACATAACAACTAATTCATGAACTAAAGATATATATCAAAATAAAAAAAAATATTTTACTCCTTGGTATTATACAAATTAAATAGCGATCTGCCTACATAGTATTACATGTATTAGAAACGTTATTACAAATTGAAGATAGTTAAGACTTCCAAACAGTGAAACACATACTTTTTGCCAGGCGGGTTGGCCTATAATAAGCCGCCTATATACCGGAGAGAAACATACTTCCCTTTATAGATCTATCCGTCAGAGCCTCAGATCTATAATCATATCAATAAATCAATAAATCTGAGTAGCCGATTTGTGATGTAGTGTGCCATTTATAGGCCTGATTTTTTAACCTCCTTTATACTGAGAGATTAACGCGGCTTTACTTAAGAAATGACAATAGCCTAAGGATGAGGCTCGTGTGTGGAATAAATAAGAGTACCCCAATCAATAAGTTTCGGTGGTGGGGGCGTGGCCCTATAAAGACCAGCCATGCTGCGCTTCAACGGCGCTGAGAAGGTCGATCGCAGCCAACCCTCACCAGCGTACTATGGTATGTGTAGTACGTGCACTGTGCACTAGCCCTGTAATCTCAGCTGCTTGAGCCAGCTGTACATACCGATATATACTGATGCCCGCTTGACACTCATTTCCATCGAATTTCAAAGAGGCCGATTAATATTCTAAATTATAAGCCCTAACATCACGAATGGTTCATTTTTCTGAGATAAAACAGGTAGGCCTATGTGATTTGAGAATAAGCATCATGTTTACAAGACAAATTCAGCTCAGGCAGTCGAGTTGTTGAACGTGCATGATCAGTATCCTAGTAATTAATACTGTAAACAGTTAATAGGGTTAACATGGTGAAGTGCGTGGTAGGAATTG